CCAAGCCTGTGGTGCAGGTAAGGGACAGGGAATGGGACAGCTGCAGAGGCCTTCGACCTGCCTGGAAACAAACGGCTGGCTTAGCAGGAACAGCTGTCCCCAGGGCACCAGAGGGACAGGGGGAAAGGGAACCGAGACCCCAGCTTAGGGTGAACAGTGCAGAAAAAGACTGGCTTTTCATGTTAGAGATCTCTATATGCATTTGTATATAGGCACATATTTACACTAATGGCACATACTCATAGCAAAAGCTCTGTGTCTCACTCCCTAATTTCAATATCTAAATGAAATGGACATGACAGTCCTTCTTACTAATGTTTACTACTGGGCAAAGTTCACTGTTCGGCATCCGGATGAGAAGAACCTCTGCTGTTCTCCAAAAACACCCTACAGAATGCGATTCTCCGGATGCTGCTTTGTGTACGGAAAGCCATGCAAATAATATTGTGTTAGTCTCACTAAGCGAGTAACTCTAACCAACTTTAGCATAGAAAGCAGGTAGAGATGGCGCATCTGAGACATTATGGACAGCTCTTTTGTTTCCATTGGCAAATCTCTCCACCCACAGTTAGAAAACAAAGTCCCTTTGAGAGCTAGATGAAAATTTGGGAAAACGTCACCATACCTCAGTGTTGCCTGACACTCATGTTTTGGTCTTCCTTCTACCTTCCAGAGAAGGCTACCTCACTAACCCACGCAAGATGTCACTGGGATCAGAGCAAGGTGGACTACGAGCTCATCACGATTTGATGGTCTGTTTAATTCAGGTAGAAGTGTATCTCTTTTATTTTTGACTCAAGTTCACATAATTGTCCACATTACTTTGGCAAAGGAATAGAGCTGTATGTGCTTAGACCATAATATATTACAATGCATGTACTTACACATGCAATGTGCCATCTAGGGGACAAAATGTGAAAACGGAAATCTCAAGATGTCTCTTAAAAAGTAGACTCATTCATATACAATCTTTATGCCCTGAAAGAAACCGCTTCATGGTACAGAAGCAATTAGGAGGTAATATTCAGGCAATGATATTCTGAAGGTGTGGCTCAGTCATGAGGAATAGATTCTAGCAAGTGGTGACATCATCTCTTTAGGGCCTCGGCTGCTCTTGTAGGGAAGCAGCCCCTCCCGAAGCGATCAGAGGTTGTCAGCTTTCCACCCGAGTACCTTAACAGCCTGAAGACACCTGTCCCCAAAACGCATGTGACAGAGGCATTTTCCCAGGTTGGAGTTCTGTTTGTTTGTTTAAAGCCCCAGCTTCCTCATTACCTTTACACACACATTTATGAACCACACACGAGAACCTCCAAGCAGGGCGGCCACGCTTGCTAATCTGACAGCTCGGAAGCAGGAGTCCTGGAGGCACTGTGGCTGTGGCTAGTTTCACCTGCTCATCCCTGCTTTGACATATCCGTGCCTCTGAATGTGGAGAAGTCTATTATGGAAACGGGAAAGCAACCCCATTACTGAGACATCTCAACGAACCTCAAATGACGAGCTGATGAGCAATGCGCTGGCTCTCTCACCGCCTCCGGCCCAGGGCTCCGGCAGCAGTGGCTCTGCCCAGTACGCCAGTTCCCATTGATCCCACACCTGCTCTCCTTGGGGGTGAGGGTGCCTCCAGTGCCTAACTCCACTGTCTGGGTGTTCTGTGCATCTGCACCCCAACATTACAGGGTGGGAATGTCCTGTCAGTGGGTGAGACGAGCCAGTGTCAGAGACCCACGCCTCTGGTTCTGGGCTTGGCGTTAGCATGTAGTTAAACTGCTGTAACTACCCTGGCCAGGCGGCTCAGTCGGTTGGAGCATCGCCTGTACACCAGAAAGGTTGTGGGTTCAATTTCCGGTCAGGGCACATACGGGAGGCAATTGATCGATGTTTCTCACAGGGATATGAAACATCCTCGGGTAAGGGTTTAAAAAATAATAACCTGCTGTAACTGCTGATGGCTGAGTTTGCTTAAGTTCAGACAACCTTTGTGCTTTCTAAGCAACGGAGTGAGAACTCAGAGAAGGTCCCTCCTAAAGCTTGTCCTCCCTTCCGAGTAGCAGTGAGTGGGTGTTGTGAGGGTAGTGGTAACTGCTGGTGTTTTCCTCCCAACCATAGTCTTTCCCAGGAAAGCTCTAGGGCCAACACGATGCCCCTTGGGCTAGACCCCACTTCAGCAGCTCTGGAAAGGCTATGAGGGTGCGAGGAAAGATCGCAATAAGCAGCTTTAGTGCGAGTATGACATTCCGCATATTCAACACGTGCACCAGCTCTGGTCCTGCTCATGATCTCCTTGGCATGAAGAGCTGACCCCACCATTTTTCAGGGCCTTGAGGGATCTTGGTTAATTACCTACTTTCATACTATTAGACAACAAACAACAGGGTCCAGAGGTCTCCTTTTTTAAAAAAAATTAAACACTGACTTTCGAAGCAGCATCTGCTATACGAATCCTCACCTTTACAAGGGCTGAGCTGGCAATGAATGAAAACCACTTACAGCCTTTGAAGTTCAAGGCCAATGACTCTAATTCAGTTCTCAAAGCCCATTTACTGGTTAGAAACTCAAAGGGCCTCACCACAGCCTTCCTCTCTGCAATGTAACTAAGTAATTAAGCCTGCACTTGAGTACTGACAACATCCAGAAGGGCAGGAACCAGAAGACTCAGGCTACGGACCTGCTTCGGGACCTGGAGGAAGGTACTCTCGCACCCAGAGCCGCTCCTTCTGCACTCAGTTCAGGAAGAGCTGCCAGCCCAGAGCAGACAGCTGTCAGTCCCACCTGACAGCTCCACCCAAGTTCTGTCTCCCTCCAGAGCTCGTTCATTCAGGAGCCAAGTCTGCTGAGATAGTTTAACACTTGCTCAAAATCTCAGAACACCTACACCGAGCTACTTAGTTTCTGCTGTTGCTGCAATATTTCTGAATACATTTTAAAAGATAAATTTCCCTGAGTGTCTTTCAGGAACTAGGAACTTTTTATGAAAAGTGTTCAGCTTTCTGAATATCTTTTCTTCCAAGTCTCTCCGGGTAACACTTCCTTCCACCATACCGAGCTCAGCCTAGGAGGAAGGGGCCAGGCCGCAGGGGAATGAAGCTTGGGGCATCTGTGCAGGCTGGGGCATCAGACCACTGTTCTGCTCCCAGGACAGCGGGCCAGCTTCCTGACACCCTTGCTCTCTGTCTTTGCTAGTTACAGCTTACACACTTAGGGGTCCTTCCCAGGAGAATCATCCCTCTCAACATGGCAGTCGAGTTATTAATTAGCTGGTTAGTTTTCCCAAACATGGGAATGGCAGGTTGCAAGTACCTCATGCTAAAGAACAGAGTTGACTGGAATAGTGCTCACTCCCAGGCAGCTGCCTGCAGGATGTCCCTGTGGCTCAGAACCAAACTCCGGCTACTCCTGACAGCTGCTGCCCATCCCCCACCAGTCCCCCTAGCGCCCTCCAGCTACCACCCTGATGGACAGAAACCGAAGGCACAGAAGCTCAATTCTTCTATCTCCTAAAAGCAAGTGTAGAAATCCTGCCAATGTTTTTGTCCCGTGAAGGGATTGTGAACACAGGCTTGGTGGTGATGGGGTCACTTTTCTGGCATCCTGGCTAAAGGTGAGGTGGGGCTCTAGGGTGATGTTAAGAGACCACCTGCAGATGTCCCCCACGCTGGGCTCAGCAAACATCGTTGTTGCCAAAGGGTGAATGTCACACACGGGAATTAATAAATGAACACAAATTCAAAAGACACAAGAGTCGCATGCTCTAAAACAGGACGAGGGTTAGCCTCTGGGGGTAACCTGCGGACATTAACCAGAGCACAGCTAGACTAGGGTCAGTGTGGTTAGGGCTCAGACAGGAGCATCTCCTTCAGCCTCTAGGGGACAGAGGGGCTGGAACTAAGGTAAGAACTAGGACAGAGATGTTAACGCTATAGAAACAGGTAACGAGGTATGCAAAGGCACTTACGTGGAACAGGGATATCTGCGTTTCCCATGGATGGAACACAGACGGAAAGAAAAGACAAGAGACAGACCCAAGAAAAAAAATAAGATGTGAAAGAAATGACTAGGATCCGCGGATCACATGGCACTGGAAACTCAAATTATCAAATTACTTCAAATCCAGAAAGAAGCAATTCCTGTGGAAGGAAGGTAAGACAGGCTTCCTGCTTCTGGAAAGGGGTAAGGGATCTCTTTCCAGGTCCCTGGCAAGAGAAGGGAGCAAAGGATCCTCCGCCTGCCTTTTAAAGCCAGGAGTCAGAGCGGCCTGGGGAGCTCCGTGACCTCTAAAGGAGTCTGTCCTGCAGCAGCTTCTCCAGCTGGGTGGTCTCATGACCCTCCCGGGGCAGGAGCTCGGCTCTGGGGAGGTCTGCTCTGGAGCAGGGCTCCCCCAGAGCTGGCTGCCTGCGGGTGGAGGAGAGAGGCTGGCGGCATAGTTGAAGGAAAGCGGCAGGCCCTGAGGTGTGCTCCTGGCGTGGGAAGGGAGGGGACAGAGGAGGCAAAGGCCTCAGCATCCTTTCCTCTTTGCATGGCAGGGACTCTGCCTCCGCTCCTCCGTCCTAGAGCAGCCCTTGCTTTTCTGTAGGTTAATGTCTCTGCTGCATCCACAGCCCCACAGCTCATTATGGGAACTGTCACTGCCTTCTCTTCCTTCAAGTCGTAAGGTGCTTAGGGCCTTTGTGACCTGTGTCAAACAGCAAATCCCCCCAACCCCCCAGCACACGGCCGCGCGTCTCCTCACTCTCTCTAACACTGTGCCGGCGCTTTTCCCCCCGGGCCGCGAGTCTAATGGACTGGACCAGCTACTATGACAGTGTCACCTCGAGTAAGAGGATAAGGGAACTGGGTGTCAGTCATCACTGAGGGCCAGAGAACTAGGAGGTGGGGCCACCTCGAGCAGAGGGACCTGAAAGACAAAAGGCTGTCATCGGAACAGTGGGCGGCCAGCTCAGGGTCCCCGAGCCCCCGGAGAAGAGGGTGGGGGAGGCAGGGCAGCTGGCTCTACTTACGGACTGGCTGCGTCTTGAACTCGGAGGCCGCGCTGATCTCGCCCAGACCCTTGCCGTTGAGGGCGGCCAGTCGCACGGTGTACGTCGTCTCAGGCTTCAGGCCCATGATGGTGACGATGCCCTCCATGCTAGCTGCGGTGAGAACAGGGAAAGGATCACAAAGGATGAAAGGCCTACTGGAGAAACGGCGCAGCCACTGTGGGAAAGAGAATGGCGGGTCATCAAAAAATTAAACACAGAATTATCATTTGACCCAGCAATTCCACTTCTAAATATACACACAGAAGAGTTCAAAGCAGGGGCCTGGGACGGATACCTGTCACCCACGTCCACAGCAGCACTGCTCACAGTAGCCAAAAGGTGGCAGCAGCCCAAGGGTCCACGCACAGATGACAGATAAACCAAACGTGGTGCCGACATACAATGGAATATTATTCAGTTTTAAAAATGAGTGAAATTCTGACACGTGCTACAACAGGGATGGGCCTCGAGGACCTTAGGCTATGTGAAATGAGTGAGACACAAAAACACTATTATTCTACTTATACGAAGCACCAAGGATAGTCAGCTACGCAGAGACAGAAAGCGAAAGGGCAGCTGCCAGGCACTGGGGCAGGAGGGAAGGGGGAGCTCTGTTTAAGGGGTACAGAGTTTGAGATAATAAAGCTTTCTGGGGATGGGCTGTGGTGATGGTGGCACCACAGTGTGACTGTACTTGATGCCACTGAACAGTCCACTTAAAAGTGGCTAAAATGGTACATTTTATGTTATATATATTTTAAGACAATAAAAAATAGCTTCGAGTGATGTTAAAAAATAAAAACGCCTGTTGGGCAGATTGTAACATAGGATCCACTTGCCACAAAGTTGGCGTCAGGTTTCGGAGGGACGTTAGGAAGGTAAGGGAATTGTCCATCTCTACTTCTAGTCGAGATGACACAGAAGCTCCTCCCCTCACTCCTCACCCCCCACCGAAGCCACGGGAGCGATGGAAGTGTTTGGGAGGAACGAATTCTCCGTAAAACTGGGCTGGGAGATGCCTTTGAGCGGCTATCACCCCATGTCCTAACCCATTCCTAATGCCACCCTGGTTACTGCAACATGGAGCCAGAATTAGAAAGTTCAACAGAAACAATACATAGTCCACTGAGTTATTTCAACTCAGCCCCACAAGAAGAGCTAGAGAGAAATACACGTGGTCCTCAGGGAAGGTCAAACTGGGCTCAGAATCTTCAAGGTGCAGTCATCCAAGGGTCCTTTTAAAATCTTTAGTTGGAAATACATCACAGGATTGACTTAAGAGCAGACTTGTCTTGCTGGATCTGCTTATTTGGTTAATATTATAATTGCATGACAGTCCTGAATGTACCCAAGCTGGACTGCGAAGTGATGGCAGGGAGCCAGCAGCACATATAACCCACTCATGCAAGGCGGGGTGGGCTGGACTCAGTGGCTGTGCTCACACCGAAGCAGGGCTTCTGCTTGGCTCCTCCACCCTGGCAGGGTCACGGGAACCAGGCTCTGAAGGGCCAGGGACAGAAGGCCAGTAAGTCTACATGAACTGTAACCGTGCCCTAATTCTGAGGGGACAGTGATGGTGTAGCAGCATAGGAACATGCAAGGATGGCAGGTGACTGCATCCTGGTCACCCCCAGTAGGTGAGAGTGGTGTGTTACCCCACCCAGTGGGC